CTGCTCCTGTTATCGCTGGCTCGCAGCTTGTGGTTTGCGGGGAGATGCTGTAGTTATGTCTGACATTCGTGACCAGCAGGACCCGGGTCCTGAGCAGACCCAGCAGGTGCCCCCAGGCCGGTGGCGAGAGGAGCTGAGAGCCAGGCCCAGAAGGGGGCCAGGAGCTGCTCAAGGCCCTCAGGGCGCCTGGGGTTTATGGCACACAGTCCAGGGATCTTTCAACGCTGCTTCCTCCTCCCCAAGGGTGAAAGCGCCATAAGGCTGGCCCCCAGGCTGGGCCAGCACCTTCCCCTCCAGGCTTCCCTGGCCAGCGCCGGGTGTCCGTGCTGTCACCCTCGGGCTCCCAGCCTGTGGCCCCCAGGCCAGGCTCACTATAGGACTCAAGTCCTCGAGGGACCCGGAGCCCACAGTTCTGCAGTCAGTTTGGGTTCCTGTGGAGGCTCCTCCCTCTGCCCAAGGGTCTGAAGGTGGAGGGGCAAGGGTGGTCGGGGAGTGGAGGACCCTGTGGCGTGAAGGTGGGCCTTGGCCCTGGGACTAACAAGCTAACAGCAGGCCCAGCTCGCCACTGCTGGCAGGCGCCCGGAGCAGGCCCCTTGGACTTTTCAAGCGAGCCTCTGTGATGGACATCCCCGGGTTGCTAGGAAAGACCCAGAGGTGGTGGGCACTTGGTAGATGTGCTCTGGCCATGGAGGCTGGGTCCGAGCAGCAGCTCCTGGTGTGGGGGCCTGACCTGGCCTCCTCAGCCCACCCCAGAACGTGGGTGTGCATGGGGATAGAGAGAAGCGTGTGCAGAGGGAAGGGAGCAGGGATGGAGGGCAAGGTGAGGAGGTGGAAGCTTCACCTGCCTGTCACCAGTCGGCCTGGCCTCGCCCTGGAGGGAATAGCTGGTGTCCCCATTCCACAGTCGGGAGGGGAGCGGTGGACTCAGGGGCACACAGCTGGTGAGGGGGAGGCTCTCCACTACACATCTTCTCAGGTGGGGAACAAGGCAGGAGGCGTGCCCAGGCTCCAGGCCGGCCTCCCACCTCACCTCAAATGTGCACCCAGGGACACTGGGCGGTGGGATGGTGCCGAGTGCCAGCGTTCCATGTGCCCTCATCCAGTCTCTCCACAGTCTGGAAGCTGAGGGCTGTCATCCCCATCTGTGACTGCAGGCTGGGGTTTGGGGAAGCCAGGGCCTGTTGGGGTGGCAGGCCAGAGGGTGGGGCCTCTCTCATCCACCCAAACAGGCTTCCCCAGCCCTGGGGCCCTCAATGGTCCCCTGGATTATGACATTAAGTGGCAGGCCCAGCGTCTGACGAACTGCAGCAGGCCATGCTCCTCAGGAAGACAAGGGGCGGCCAGGCCCAGCCTGTCCCTTCACCACAGCCAGGCCCTCTTGCCACCTTGGCTCCTTGGCCCAGCTCCAATGGGCACACTTGGTTTTGCTGCTGCCCCTGGCCCCTGCCCTCCAACTCAGCCTCCACCAGGAGGGACAGCGTGACCTCGCTTCAGGGTGAGAGGGTAGGACTGAACCAACCACATGACCATGGTCAGCACCCAGTGGTGCAGGCCTCTGTAGGGCCTGACCCAGAGGCTAGGGCCTTAACGGGCTTTGCCACCACCGGGTGGAGGCAGGAGAGGGAAGGAAGTGAGGGGCAGCCTGTAGAAGATGTGATTTTCTCCTGAGTTACTGGCCTGAGGTGTGGCAACGTCTTCCGGCTTCGTTCTCTTCCTGGGCAGTGACCACAGCAAGCGCAGGGTTCTGACGTTCAGCGCCAGGGCAGGACTGCGTCCACTCGCTTTGCATCTTAACGTCTAGATGGCTGTACTGTTTCACCCTTACAACTGACCCTCACCAGAGGTCCTGTTACGACTTCTATTCACACCCCAGGATACCAAGGCAGAGATAAACCAACTCGCCCACGAGTGCGGCCAGGGGGTGGCAGAGCCAGGGTTCACAGCCAGGCATCCTGCCTCAGTCTGGATTCTTAGGAATGACACCCTTAGAAATACGTAACTCACAAGGAGTAGCAGCAGATTGCTTGGCAGAAGCAGCCAACCAACATCCCTACAGACATTTTTATAGTTCATAGGAGTTCGGCAAGAGGGAGGTTTCTGGAGTGTCAAACAGGCTCTGCAGTCTTGGTGCCCAGTTCGAATCCTGGCTCCACCCTTCACTAGCTGTGAGACTTTAGCAAGTGCTGAACGTCTCACTGTGCCTCAGTTTTCTCATCTATAAAATGGGGCAATTATACCTACCTCATAGGGTTGTTAGTTAACACTGCATAATACTCAGAAGAATGTTTGGCCCCTGGGGAGCTCCCAGTGTTAGCTGTTACTATTACTAGCACAGATAATACCAACAGTATCCAAATGTTAGGTGGTGGTGTCATTCCCAGTCATTGCTAGTTCAGTAAAGTGAGGCAACTGTCCCTGAAAATGCTGTTAACCAACCACCCACACCAGTGATGCAAGGCCAGCGGCGGGCTCTGAAGCAGCTCATTTCCTGGTCTCTGTGCTCAGACAGTGCCCAGCCTGTGATGCCATCCACCCGGCTGCTCTCAAGAGAAACCAGGGCTGGGCCCTCCTTTCCGTTCCTGGACTGCCGTGCAGACACAGGCCTCCCGGGCCCCACCACAGCCACTTATCCCATGTGCCCAGAGCCTGTACCAGTGGTATCTGCAGTGGCAGAAGCAGCAGCATCAACTGCAACAGCAGCAGCCTGAGCACTCTGGATATTTCATTTAAAGAGAGGCCTTTACCCCCCTTGGTTGTTCGAAAAGCACTTAGCTGTGACGTCAGAATTCCTGGGGACAGTAACAGGCCTGAGCCCCATCTCTGGGTAATTAGCTAATGTGTACAGAGCAACCCCCTTTGACAGTCCAGCTCGGCACCCCCACCCTGCTCTTGCAGGTGTGGGCACATGTGAAACAATTGTGCTGACAGTATTTATTTTTTCGTGAGGAGATCAGCCCTGAGCTAACATCTGCCAATTCTTCTCTTTATGCTGAGGAAGACTGCCCGTGGGCTAACATCCATAGCCATCTTCCTCCACTTTACATGGGACGCCGCCACAGCGCGGCTTGCCAAATAGTGCATCGGTGCGCGCCCTGGATCCGAACCGGCAAACCCCGGGCCGCCGCAGCGGAGCACGTGCCCTGCCCTTAACCGCTTGTGCCACTGGGCCGGGCCCGTATGCTGAGAGTATTTAAAGAACCACAGCAGAAGGTGGAGCACACGGTCAGCGTGGCCACAGGCACACACGTAGGCAATGAGGCAAACCCACCGGGAAGGGTACCTGGAGGGACCCGAGGACGCTCCGCACCCACCACAGGCACACCCCCTTCCAGGTGATCTCTCTCACCTATGCAGAGGCCCGCCCTGGGGTAACTGCCCTCCAGTCCTGCCCCAGGCGCCTCCGGGAAGGCAGCGTCTGTGCTGCCTCCACCCAATGGGCACTGCTGCCACACCAAGGAAGACTCAGTTCACGTCGATTCAGCCAGTGATTAGACAGAGCCTGGAATGATGCCCACCGACCGGTCAGTCAAAAGCTAGCACCCCAAGGGCTTACCAGGCAGGAGGCACTGTTCTAAGCACTTGACTTGCGTTAACTCACCCAAAGTCACAAAGCCAACAAGCAGCTGGGCCCAGGGTTCCGCACTGAGAGAGCCCGATACAGACCACTTCACATCCGGGCAGGGAAGGACTCTGAAAATGGAGTCGGCGTAGCTGGCCAACTGGCTGGGAGGACATGAGGCTGAATCTGTAAGCTTCACTCCTTGTATATAATACATATGCTGCAAAGATAGACTCTACATAAGTATACAGGTTCTAGAAAAACATGGCAGACTTTGTTATACTCGTAAGATGGAGAAAGCATTTAAAACATGCCTACACATCCCAGAAACCATAAGGGAAAATGGATAAAACAAAATTGAAATCCTTCCATGTAGAACCCACCTCTCCTCTGCCCCAGACAAAAGGCAGATACTAACCTGAAGAAAGCACTTGCCTCAGATCACCGAAGCTGAGTAGCCGCTTACAGATGTGAGAAGGATGTCCACCCTCACACACAGGCCTACAGGCCCTGACGTTGTGTGTGATGTCGCCAACATTACCTCATGCAGAAGCAGGCACTTCACAGGCTGGCACTCCCCTTCAGGAGCGATTGTACAAGGAGACACATGTATAAACATAAAAGGAACATTCTAAATGTGGACCAGTGAGGAACCTGTTAAATCTATATCATGGAATAATACAGCTATAAAAATTATGCAGATCTAGAATTATTGACAAGATGTCTGAGTAAAAACCTATTTCTGAAGTTACAGAAGAGCAGGTATATATATACATCTGGCCACCCAGAAAGTTGTCGTGCACAAATGTTAGAAGCTACGATCTCAGGGTGACGAAGTACAGACGAGTTTTCCTTTGTACTACTTTAAAAATACATTGTTTTTTTTTGCAATGAACACTGATCATGTTAATATATGTACCCAGATATTTTTTTCAGAACAAGCTTTGTCTACCACCTAGGGACAAAAAGGCTGTGTTCTTTGCAAGACTCAGGTAGCCGAGGGGAGGAGGAGAGGGACTCATTTCTCAGCAGGCCACCGTCCCCCGGCACTGTCTTCTCCAGTGTTTCAGCAGTGCCCATAAGAAGAGCTAAGTCACCTTCATTAGGAATGATGTGACCTGGGCACTTTTATCTTCCACTGAGGCACAGAATTAAGGGGAGGGTGGGGTTCTTTATAAAAGAAACTTTGCAGGCCGGCCCCGTGGCTTGGTGGTTAAGTGCGTGCGCTCCACTGCTGGCGGCCCGGGTTCGGATCCCGGGCGCGCACCGATGCACCGCTTCTCCGGCCATGCTGAGGCCGCGTCCCACATACAGCAACTAGAAGGATGTGCAACTATGACATACAACTATCTAATGGGGCTTTGGGGAAAAAAATAAATAAATAAAATCTTTAAAAAAAAAAAAAAAGAAACTTTGCCATGATAAATAAAAAGGCAACCAATGTTTTTTATATTTTTTATTTGGTGTTAACTCCACAAGAAAACAAAAAATCAGTTACTCTGGTGTATGTGAAATCAGAACAATACAACCACGGGGAAAAAATCTCAGCCCAGGAATGGAAAACGGATACTCAGTGCTACGGAAATGCAATGCGCTTCATACCACAGTGCGTTTCAGCGTTTTGCCAACTTTTTAAAAAATGCTTTTTCTTTGTGATCATCCATTCACAAAACTAAAAACCACACTTACATCTCTGTTGCTGAAAGCCTCTGGGCTTCAGCCACTCAGCTATGAAAACAAATAAATACATAGTCTGTTAATCCCCTCACCCATTTATAATCCATCCCCATTCCCCCGTGGAATGTGCAGTGTCTTCCTACCAGAGTGTGGGGAAGGCTGCACCTTTGCCACCTGGAGCCCTTTCTTGATAAAAAGTAGCTGTCCAAAATCAACTGAGCTAAAGGTTGTGTCTGAAATACATTTATTTGGTCTCTGCTACACAAGCAACGATTTCTAGGATGATCGTCACTGTAGTGATTTTAGGAATTTACAACTTCCAATTCTTTTTTGCCTTTGCTGTTAAATTATATTTCAGTGCAGATGCTAATCAATTTTTAGGAAGCTCCGGAAGAAAGAAAAATACATAAAACCTTATAAAGTCTGTAAATAAATAACAGCAACATAAAACCTTACACACGCGCACACACACACACAAACCCACTTTAAAGTGTCAAAAGATGTGCTGTATAAAAACAAACCCTGACACGTGCTGAGATCAAACCCAACGGGCCATCAGGTTGCTCACAGTGAGGACATAGAGAACCTGGGATGACTCCACAGCCTGGCATGGAGTTTTCTGTGTCATCAGTTAAGAAAAAGGCAGCAAAACCCAATGCTCAAAGCAAATCATATATTTCTCAGCCAGTTCAACTCCCAGCTAGTAAATTATATGTGTTTATTGCCTGCCAAAATTAGTGAAGCTGTCTCGTGCATATTAGACTTTTCTGCCGTTCCTGATGTTACAGACATGTTAAACTGATTTCACACATTAGGTTTTTTTAAAATAATGAGTTGGTTAAAAAAGAAAAACACTTTAAAATGTTTAGGTTTTACCGATATTGCTCCCCTAGCTTCAGCCTGTCGCACAGTGGCATGGAAGCTCGAGGGGGCGATCATCGTGAACGACAGAACTTGTCGAGATAGACTGACCCCCTGGGTTCCCAAGTGAAACAGGAAAGCGAGTCCCATGAAGCAATCACACAGGTATGGGAGAAATCGTTACTCTACCCACCCCCAACCCGCCACACACAGAACTTGCCCAGAACATTCTCTCAAACACAAAATGAGATCTAGGCTACACTAAATCACAGCCACAAGAGTAGCCAGCTGCAGCAGCCAAGGTGTCTTTGGGGTGATGAGGTGGTCTTTATTGCAGTCAAACGTTCACAATTTCAAGTTTTGGGGGCTTCAATTCAATGTAGGTCACCAGAAAATCATAATTTGCAACTAAGGTCCTCACCAAGTATTTTAGGACTCACCACACATAACCCTGAAAGGTGTTCTGATGTAAATGTAACTGCAACATGACAACAGATGGGGGCACTCCACCCCACTTTTCCTCATCTACCACCCCACACCCCAAATTCTTGGCTTCTCCAGTTAGCAAGCAAGTCACAAACCATAGTATCATCCATGATACTTTAGAGAAGAAAATCCTAAGACAGAAAACACAGTATTTTTTAAGTCTCTAAAAGCACACCCTTGTGGTTCCTACGTCAAATGTACATGAGATTTTACTGAATGAAGAGCGTAGATGAGTCACCCATGCTTCCCTCTTGCCTTCAGAAAGGCACTGATCCATTGCAGGGGTAAGTGTGTGTATCCCGGTTCTTAGAGAACAGAGCCTAAATGTCCCAAAGCTAAAGTCTCTGAAGAGCAGGAGTGGCTGCGGACACCGCAGTGCTAGTCAGGTCACGGGGACACGCCGCAGTCGGAAGGTGAGCTGCAGCTGAGATGCAAACAGCAGGGATGCTTCTAAGACGGGCACATGCACACCCATTCTCGACTGGACAACACAAGCTAGTCTAGTTCAAAGAGCCAAGAATTTAACAGCTTGGAAAAAAAAATCTTCAACAGGATAGCTGTCCTCAACTCTAAAATAAGCAAGAAGAGAAAGATAATTACTGATCTGAATCAGTTAATTGAAGAAGAAACCTAGGTGGTTGTTTTAGATTAACAGGCCTCACAAAAGGGTAATTTTCCATCACATTTTTAAAAAATAATTTGTACTACTCTGCAGGTTTAGAGATGAGTTCGGGAAAAGAGCTCCTCTTCGCTGGGGTCCACCCACTCGCCTCCGCCTTCTGAGCCCGTGTCCCCCGAGTCGGAGCTGGCGCTGGAGTACATCTTTCTGCGGAAGCCGTTTGATTTTGCTCCAGAATTTCTCTCTCCGGTACACCTTGCTTCATAAACAGAAGACACCTAAGATTAAAGGAACAATTTTCAACAGATCAAAAGCCAGATTTTTTTTCAAAAGTGCTATGTGAGATACTCTTTATACACAGAGATTAAATAACAATCACTGATGCTTTCCTGTGAAGAGTTACAAAAATCTGAAGAGTTTTACTGTTTCAAAGCAAAACAAACAACCTCTCCTCCCTGATCCATACAGAAGCCAAAACCCTAATTCTCTGTGTTCAGTCCCTTGGACAAAATGTTGCATATGTTAGGGCCAGATAAAAACAATTCTCTGAGTGCCTACCAGAGCTCAGGAACTGGGCTGGGCATGGGACTCCACTGGGAGGATGGACACGGATGGCTACGCCCTCCTGGGGCTCACATTCCAAGGGAGAAGACCACAAGCAAACCAACCAACAAAACCTCATGCTACGGTGATAAATGGTGATAGGACCCACGGTGGGGGACACTTCAGACAGGAGTGGCAGGGAAGGTAGAAGGCTGAGAAGCCAGCCAAGCCGAGTACCAGCCAGAGCTTGCCCGGGATCTTGGGGCTGTGCTTCTGAATTGAAGTTCTATCAGTAACTGGTACTTTTGAAGGAAAACTCTTTGTTGTGTAGGACTGTCCCCCACACCAGATGGTTAGCATCTCTGGCCCCCGGGACACTAAATCCAAGTGGTTAGCCCCTCCCCAGTCACAGTAACTAGCAATGCTCCTCCCCACTCCATCACAGTATTAGCAACATCACCCTCCCCGCCCACAGTAACCAGTAGTGCTTCCCCCCTCCCCCGAAGTGGTTAGCAATGCCCTCCCCCCAACCAGTCATAATAACTAGCAACACTCCCTGCCCCTAGTCATAGTAACTAGCAAAGCCTTCCACTCCCCTGCCCCCCTGCCCTGGGCCAGTTATAGTGGCTAGCAATATCCCCCAAGTCGTAGCAACTAGCCAAGCCCCCTAGTCCTACCAACTAGCAATGCCCGGCCCCGTCACAGTGGCTAGCAACATCCCCCCAGTCATTGTAACCAGCACCCTCCCATTTTCAAATGGCAATACTGTGCCTGGTTGAGAACCCCCAAGGTAGGAGCACAGGAAGACAGCCACACCAAATGAAGGAGAGAAGAGGGACATGAAATCAGAGAGGCAGAGGGGAGCAAAACACATTGGGCCATACAGGCGTGGCAGGGAGTGTAGATTTCATTCTAAGTACAATCATGGTTAGGAGTGTAGGTCCCCGAGTCAGGTGTTGAGGTTCTCAGCTCAGGTCTGCCCTCGGTATGTGGCCGTATGATCTCAGTACATGGCTCCGAACCATTCTGTGCCTCAGCTTTCTCTTCTACAAGATGGCGTGATACAAGTACCTACCTCACAGAGTTGCTGTGAGGACTAACTGAAGTAACACTTGTGAGGCCATTCTGCCCTGCTGTGTGGAGAGAAGACTGGAGAGGGACAACAGGTGGAAGCAGGAAGACCAAGGAAAAGCTCACAGCAGCTGTCCAGGAGAGGGACGGTGGTTTGAACGAAGTGATGGAGATGGGCGAAGAGGAGGATTTGAAATGTCTGAGGTGGGACGGTCAGGACTGGCAGACAGACTGCATGTGGAAGGTGAGAGAGAGAGGAATGAAGCATGACTTCTGGGTTTGGGGACTGAAGCTGGTGGGTGGAACAGGGTAGCAGTCACTGAGGCGGGGAGGCCCCAAACACCTGCCTTGACATGTTAAGTCCGACAGGTCCATGGGCCGTAGGATATGGACGCCAACGCCATAGGGTGCTTGGCGAGAAAATTCCCACAGGACTCGAACTGATGCTGACAATCATCACACTGAGAAGAACAGAAGATTCCTCAGATTCATTTGCCTGCCTGCCTAACTGGGTGAGGTCTGGGCCTAGACTAAACTAGGCACAGGCCCTGTACCCGCCCTCAGGGAGTCACAGTCCTGTCGGGAAGGCAGACATACAGAAATCGAGTGCAGGGCAGTCAAATGCTGCGGCTGCGACAAGAGGTCTACACCAGGCGTGGCCAGGGCACACAGAGGGCGGAATCCACCCCATGGAGGCTGAGAGAGGCAGCAATGGGCACACCAGAAGGGCTCCCTTGCACTGTACTCTGAAAGATGAAAAGGGTGCCCACTCAAGGATTTTAAGGGGGAGTGATAGGGTCAGATATGTATTGAATTTAGAAATTCCCTCTGGCAACAGCATCAAGGACAGATTGGAGGGAGAGGGTAGATGATTTGGGAAGCCTTGGCAGTAAGTGGTAGAGGTGCGAGGCGATGCAGACCCAAGCGAAGGGCCACAGAGGAGAAAGGTCACATCTGCAGAGCTTGGTGACCTGGGAAGGGCAGCTCAGAGGACTCCCAAGTTTCAGCTTGAGTGACAAGGGGTGGTGTGTGGCCGTTTGTAAGTTAATAATAAGGAGGAGGACAGTCCACTTACCCTATTAAAATCTAACAGACGCTCTTCATTACTGGGTATTTCTTTAACATCTGGATATTCTTCTATACCATTCTCTCCCTTGGCATTTGTATAACATTCTTAATCATTTTGAATGGAGAAGGGAAAAGAGGGAAAGGGGGGAAATTCCATTAAGACACAGTTATGAAACATACATTCTTGTTTCATTTTTTGCTGAAAAGTCAGATCAGTTAGGTCTACCAACCCTTTGGAGATTTCAAGTAGTCACTAAAAGCAGACACAGTCATCATCAGCCAGCCAGGTGTGTATGAGGAAAACACAATGCCAATTTAAAAATTCTTTAATGGATTGTTGATCGCATTTTAAAAAAAATAGGCCTGCATAAGCATACATTCCTACTATCCCACCATGAGACATTCATCCAACAAATACATACTCACACCTATGATGTGACAGGCCCTGGGAAAACAGGATAAAAGACAACAAGGTCCGAGCTCTCAAGAGCGTATGTTGTATGGAGGGAGACAGACAATGCACCATATATATGTTCATAGAACAGATGAAGAAAGGAATTCCAGACAGGAGGAAATGCGATGGAGAAAACAAAACAGGGTAACATCCTTGTTTGTTCTTTCTCAACTCAACATCATATTAAACTATGCATTTATCTGTGGAAGAGGGAAGAGAATTGAGGCTAGTGGTTTGATTGGGTAAGTGGCCCACAGAAGGGGATGGAACTATAAGCTGGAATTAGAAGGAATCAAAAAAATCATTTAGTCCAATGGTTCTCAACTCTGGTTTTGCATTCAAATCACTTGGCAAACTTTAAGAACAGTCTGGAAGGCCAGGGCCGCATCTGAGATTCTGACTGAACTGGTCTGGGGTAGGGTCCAGGGATTAGTGTTTTCTGATGAGGTCCCAGGTGATTCTGATGCCCGGCCAGGGCTGAGACCCACTGGTCTTGATGTAGACCAGCCATCTATTCACCTTAACTCAATGGAAAAGGCGGCTGGAGCAGAAACACAATGAAAAGGGAAGAGACCTCAGGTCGGCCTGGATTAGGACCTTGGCTTTGACATCACTGTGTGTAAGTCCTTTAATACCCCTGAGCAGCTATTCCCTCAAAACCAGGATTGTCCCCCTGCCACCCGCAGCAGTCACCATGAAATGTTCAATGAGATGGTATGCTACCCCGTGTGTAATACCAGAGAGGACAGGGCCGGCACTCAAGGATTGCTGTGCCGTCCGCCATTGGGCAGTGGACGTGTGCCAAAGGAAGGCCATCTAGGCCCTGCTCGGCCTCTCGCCACGGCCCACTGGCCACATCATACTCTCCACAACCTTTAGTTCTCTCGGACCGTTTCAGGTCCTCCAAGTTACTAGTTTAGGTTCACGAAAATAACCCAGGCTCTAAGATCAGAGAGACGTCAGTTGACTCCTGGTTATGCTACTGACTTGTGATATAACTTGGGGCAACTTATTGAACCTCTTTGAGCACCCGTTGCTTCATCTCTAAAACAGGATTACCATTTGCCCTCATGGATTTCTGTGCACGTTAAAAGAGATGATGTGTGTGCAGCCTCAAGAACGTGCCGGCACACTCAATAACATCTTCTACAATTGCTACTAACCCAAGCCCTGGGCTTGGGGGCCGGCCTGCTGTGGGACAGATGGGGAGGACGCCATGCCCTCCTGCAGCAGGGAAATCCCTGCTTATCCTTTCTAGGTGATCATCTTTTCCTCAACTTGCCTGACTAAGCTCTTGTCATCCCCCATGCCCCACCCATTTGGCTACCACTCGTCCTAGGTGAGGTCAGTGTAATAGGGAAGGGACTGTTTGCTCGACCGGGATACACCCACACATGGAGCTGGATCCATCCCGCCCCGCCCCCTCATTCTCTCTCCCTGCTTTAGGAATTGTGTGTGTGCAAAAGGAGCTTGTGATGCTGCAGGCGTTCGGAAGGGGCAATGGTGACTGCTGTCCATGTTCTTCATGATCCTCACGTTGACAGCTACCATGTTCTGGGTTATGACTATGTGCCAGGCCTGCTCTAGGCACTTTACTCTCCACAACTATCCTCTAAAGGAGGCACCACTTTTAGCCTCTTCTTACAAATAAGGACAATGGAGGCACAGAAAGGTCTGGTCATTGCCCAAGGTCTAGCAGCAGAGAATGGAGGCACTTGACTCCAACTCAGTTTTGTCTCCTGAGCCCTCAACTGTTATCTATACTGTTTCCCTACAGGGTTCTCTTTTTAAGACTAAAATAATACACACACTTACAATGAGCCTTCCAAATGTTCAGAATCAGTGCACGAGCTCTGGAGATTGCTGCTCAGGAGAGAGCTGCCATGGCACACAGTCTATAAGGCCCTTGCAGTCTGGTTCCTTGCTGCCTGGCTGACCTCATCCCTCACTGCACTCCTGCACGGTTCCCCCTTTGCCAGGCACACTGGAGCACGCCAAATGCACTCTTCTCCCACATCAGCCAGTGCTTCTGCCTGGCACCTCCCTCTGCAGGTAGCCCCAGATGTCACATGGCTTGCATCCCTATTCTCTCAGGTCCCCGCTCATCGTCAGCTGATCAGAAGGGCAGGGACACGTCTGTTTGCCTCTGCATTCCCAGTGCCCGGCACAAGATAGGCATGTAAGAAATACCTGCTGAAATGGATGCAAATATGAAAGCCCAGGAAGGCCGGCAGGCGGCAGAGTGCAAGGCGCTTGGGCTTTCCGGCCAGATGGGCTCCCACGCTGCTCTGGGCTCCTGGACAAGCTGCCTCACTTCCGAGCCTCCGCCTCCTGCCTTACTGTAAAAGGGCATGATCCTCCTCCTTCCCAGGGAGGCTGAGAGCTCCTGGGTCAGCCTCTGACTCAAAGCAGCACGTGCTTACTATTAATTATTAGCAACTTTAGAAGCTTCAGGAGCAAAGACAAGAGCCCCCAGTCACTTCTGCTGAGTGAGAGGCTGTTTTCCTGGCTAACCTTCCCCCCGAGATTACATGCCCCCACCCCTCTAAGATGAAAGAATGATGTTTCATAACATCACTACAAGGCAACTGTGCAGGGATTTAACTCAGAGCTGTGAGTTAAAGGTCATTCAAAAGGCTAGTTACCATTATTTATCCACTGAGAGTTTCTCTATATGCCATTTCACAATAAAAAAAAGCATTATGTACTAACAATCATTTACAGCACCTACCAAAGGACTGTATAGATACCAAGGACCTAGAGCTAAGAGTGGGAACTGCGTTCCTTACTAACTAACGATAGAAAACTGGGCTAAGGGTGCCAAGACAGCCTGGGACACACTAACAAAGCACGAACTGCATGTGTCTGAAAATCATCCTAAGCCCCAACAGGCATTGGTCTCTCTCAATCCCCAGGCCCTTCCTGCTGCCACATCCCTCTCTCCCCCGGCACTTCCTGGGTGGTCCTCTCATCGCACTGCTCTCGGGCACTCGGCCTTCCCTACCTGTGTTCCCATTAACTGCGTCTGTGACGTAACACTCACCCAGTACACCAGACTGGACATACATCCAGGCCACGTTTGTGCTCCTACCACCCTGGCGTCTCCCTGGACACCACGTGCAAACAGCTGCTGTAAAGAGCAAAGCTCCTGGACCACAAACAGACAGCCTGGACTGGAGCCTGAGCTTGATGGCTGCTGCAGGGTTCTGCACAAATTACTAAACCTGAGACTCAGCTTCCTCATCTGAAAACCAGGGCTGCCACTTCACAAGGTTTCTGCAGGGGTTATATAAAAGAGAAGACTGAGAGCACCTTGCGAATAACAAGGGCGATGCAGACGTCAGTTAATGGAAGAGCAGCAGGCTTCCATAAAGGCTGTTAAACAAACCAAGATGCTAAACACGCGCTCTCCTATGACTTTGCAAACCTTGAGGAAGGAGGAAGGCAGGTCTGGGGAAGCCGTATTTGCACCCACAGAGCAGAGAGAAGCCAACAATGCCAGCCTCCCCCCAGTCAGCCAAGGCCAGGCTGCACAGGAAGGTCAGTGCAGGGGTTCTGAGCACCGAGAGGGCAAGGCATCGTGGGCAGTGAGGGCCGGCCCAGCTCCACGTGAATTACAAAGTAGCCAGGGAGACGTGAGGCAGACAAGCGACCACGCAAATACTAACAGAGGGTTACGTGCCCCACTCAGGGCTCTGACAGGAGACCGTTAAATAAATGCTGTAGCCATTAGCAGTCCAGGAGAGGGCAGCGGTCTGGACAAGCTCAACCTCTTGAGCTAATCCATTTAGGCTGTCTCCTCAGTTGCCACTTCTCCCAAATTTTCAGATCAAGATTTTTTATAGCTTCTGGGTATGTCCACCTGGGAGGCCCACAGACTAAAATCATCTTCTCCAAATCTGCTCCTGTTCCCAACTCCCTCTCTACCCAGTCTCCCCTATCTCCCTCCTGCTGTTCACTCTTCACAGAAAGTCATTCAACAAACTCTGGCACCCTCTACAAAACCTCCTGAGGCTGTTCTTTTGTCTGTTTCCCCTACGCCTTAGTCCAGGCCCTTATCCTGTAACTCCCAGACAACTGCAAAAGCCAGTTTCAGTTCCACGTCCACCCTGTTGCTAGAAATATTCTAAAACACACACACCCGACCTGACGCCCTCCAATTTAAAATCCTCTAAATGGCCTTCCGTTCCTGCATGTTAAACTCGACCTAACTCAGAGCTCCCAAACCTCCTGACAAGCTCCTTCCCGGTCTGGTGGGCCCAGTGGGTCCCTGTTCCCTCGACTTGCCACAGACCCTTCTGCCTTTGTGCAGCCTGTTCTTTTCTGGGGGCTGTCCTTTCCCAGACTGCTCCCCGGGGGCCTTCTTGAAGGCCACCACACAGCTGATGACTTCCTCCACGATTCACTGAGGAGCTTGCACAAATCTCGTCAAAGGGCAGTACTGCTTTTATGTACTTCCATGCCTTCCCCACATCAGGCCGTGGCTGAGTCAAAGGGCAGAGTCCAATTCTCCTACATTTCTGTGTCCCCAGCGCCTAACAAATGCCAGGGGCCGGCCCTGTGGCTTGGTGGTTAAGTGCGCGCGCTGCAATGCTGGTGGCCCGGGTTCGGATCCCGGGTGCACATCGAGGCACCACTTCTCCGTCCATCCTGAGGCCGAGTCCCACATACAGCAACTAGAAGGATGTGCAGCTATGACATACAACTATCTACTGGGGCTTTGGGGGGAAAAAATAAAAAAATAAATAAAATCTTTAAAAAAAAAAAAAAACAAATGCCAGCCACACAAAAACCTCTTATAAATGTTTTCTGGACTGATATTCATAGCAAAAGAATTGATTGCTCTTAATGAATTAGAAATCTGAATAAATGAATGAATGACCTAATACAGGTCTCCTTACCTTCACACTCTGATGCAGGAAAAAGAGGAGAGTACAAAGCTTTTTCCCACCAGGTCTGTTTTTCTTGACTTCTATTCATTCCTTGTACATCAGTGTTCAATACAGGAAACTGTTTAGATGAAACCAAATTCAGAAAAAGTTTATAGACTTTCAGGATAAAGCAAAAAATTCAAGCATTAGCTATGGACTATATACCCAGGATTTATAAATTGATGAGGTCTTTTAGTGTTCTAGACAAGGTGATTTAAAAAGCCAAAGTGTTCATAGCATATAAAGGAAGTTCTTCTTAAGAAGCACCTATATTGAAAGTAGAATGAAAGTCTTTTTAAAAAAACACAACTCTTACAAGGCAAAAACACATAACAGAAAACACTCCCAAATAAGGCAAATTCCTCGATTTTGAAAGTACAGAGGTAAAGCAGTGACCCAGGGTGTCCACTGGTGTGACGCACTCTAGAGAAAACAGGGAGGACCTTCTTCTCCTTCACATACTCAGGCAGCAGGGAGTCAAAGAAGAAATGGGGCAGAAGGAAAATTTTACAGGCAGAGTTACTAACCTAAATGTCTTTATAACTGAATTATCTGCTTTAGTGAGAACCAGAAGGAAGCTGAGACTTCAACTAAATAATAAAGCTGAGAGTAATTCAAATTCAAAACAGGACAGAGGCATCAAAAGGAGGAGGAGAGCAGGAGAGACTCTTCTGAGAGCAGGAGAGACTCACACTCTATGCATGTCCCTGGTCCTGGCTGAGCAGAAGGTGCTCAGGCCCAGAAGGGGGCCCTAAGTCTGAATCCAGGCTCCATCCTTTACTAGTGGACCTCTCAAGTCCTAGCTGGACCCCGCCCACCCACCTGCGCAGTGAGGACTGAACACGGTATGGCTGGTGGTTGACAGACAGCAGCTGTCGTGAGTGATCAAAGCATGTCCCTGGGAGGGGTAATTAGAAGACGTGGCCAGCTGCAGTCACCACATGTGTCCTGGTCTGCCGGCGGTCAGGGCAAACCTCTTCCATGCTCCTTCTGCACTGTGCCTGACAATATGCTCTCCCAGGGTAAGGCCTGGTCTCAGCATCTTTGTGCCTCCCACCGCCCCTAACACTCTCAACAGATGTCTCCTCAGTGGATAGGCCTGAAAACACTGCACACATCTTTACTGTTTTAAAAGACATTTCATTATGTGTTAGGTTTAAAATCTGAACTGTTTTAGCAACTGATGATCATCAATTCTCTAACAGAATTTTGTTATTCTCTTAAATGTAAATTATTGTATAGGTCTAAAGTTTTTTGATGCAGTAACGTGTGTTTTTTATTATTTAACTAAATGGGAAACATACTTCAAACTTGCATTTTCACTTAACATAACTTTTCAGAAATACTCCTAAAGTAGAAACTGAAGGAGAACTGTACTGTCTAACCGGAGTGGTCAGTTAACCTTCACTATGTTCTCCTGCAGCTTATTCTAACAACAAAAATTAGTGTTACTAGATAAACAGATGCCGAGACCAACAGAACCAACGAGGCTGGACTTAATGCAAATGAGGCCAGCAAGACACGTGACCTGCAGTTAACTCACGTGACTAACTCACCTAGACATAATTCACAGCACCATAAGACCGCTCCAGAAAGGCCTTTCTTCTCTCCAAGGTATACCTACTCTGTGAGATGACTTAGTATTCTTCAGGAACAGCAAGGAAGGCTCCCTGGGCAGAAGTCTCCCCATCATCCCCAAAGGCACTACTGAAGAAAGATGGATTCGGAGGTAACAAGTTCTATTTGAGGAAGAAAGCGTCCTGAGCAGGTTGTGGAACGATCAGTGTTTTATTCATGTGAGTGCAGTTCTACTGCTTATCTTTTCACCCTTTCTTGAGACTGTGGGAATGGGGGCAAGGCTAAGAACGGGAGAGAGGTGTCATCATGGAGGACGGGACATGGATAGGAAAGCAGGCTGGAGGGGGTCAAGGCCCCATGGAGGGGCTGGGTCGGCATGAATGAAGCAGAACCAGACTCTAAACTTCTTAAGGGCAGGCACCATGTCTTATTTATCTTTGCACCTCCAGGCACAGAGCAGATACTCAATGTCTGCTGACCTGAAGAAAAGGGTCCACCTGGCCTGAAGTCCCTGATGATCTAGCACATCATTTCCTCTTTCTCCTGCTGAACCACTGTTAAGATCATGCCAGCTTCTGCAATAATTATAGGATGTTTTTCCACATCCTCCATTTGAGTGTCAAAAATTTTTTTTTTTTTTGGTGTGAGGAAGATCAGCCCTGAGCTAACATCCATGCCAATCCTCCTCCTTTTTGATGAGGAAGACAGGCCCTGAGCTAACATCTATTGCCAACGTGCCTCCTTTTTTTCCCTTTTTCTCCCCAAAGCCCCAGTAGATAGTTGTATGTCATAGTTGCACATCCTTCTACTTGCTGTACGTGGGACGCCGCCTCAGCATGGCTGGACAAGCGGTGCGTCAGTGCGTGCCTGGGATCCGAACCTGGGCCGCCAGTAGCGGAGCGCCCGCACTTAACCGCTAAGCCACGGGGCTGGCCCCTTGAGTGTCAATTCTGATGGCAGGGACTTATTTGTCCTGTGTTATGCTATACTCAACACATATTCAGTGAATATCCACTATTTTATGACATCTTTCCACTTATTTTTAGGTTGCACAGCAAAGAAGACCATGCTTTGCTTAAATAACATCTGTTTAATGTATTAATTTAACTTCTCGTTTGGTTGAGAAAGAAAAGAATGAAGGCAGAATGGAGGAAACAGAAACAAAACAGACCACCACCCTGGACGAGCCAGGCACACCTTTACGTTAGTACCACTCTCCTCTCCCTCCAGATGCCTTCTTGGCTTACCTTCTCCCCTGCAAGCCTTTCTTCAAATTCCACCTTCGCAAGAACGCCTGCCCTGACATTCCCATTCCACCACATCTCTTATCCAGCTCTTCTTCTTCCTTCCCACAGCACTGGTACCCTAACATACCATATAACTTTGTATGTTCATTGAACGTAACTCCACAATGCAGGGATCTTTGTTCCTTATACCCAGCACCTAGAACAGCACCCAGAGTAGGCTCTTAATAAATATTTGATGAATGAAAGAAACAGTGGGGGAAAAAAGAGAAGATATAAACTTAATCCAGAAAACCTGACCAGAAATGTTTTTAGCAACAGATGTAATATTCAGTAATTCTTTAGAAGACAGAAGTTAGGTAAAGGCTCACAGCTTTAACTTCTCACTAAATATTCCTAGTTCTGACGGACAGAAAGGGGTCTGGCGCTCCTCTTTGAGTTTTACTCCGAGAATCAAGCACTGAATAGTGCCCCTTTGCCACAGTTAGTTCTCAGTTATCCGGGTCACAAAAGGAAAAGAAAGCTTTCCACAAACCTTGTTCTTTGGAAAAGAAAAGAGGAAACGTAAATGAAGAGCTAAGGAGAGCAAGAGAGACCAACAAGAGACACTGCACTGTCTGTCCTAAGTTTCATTTTACTGACAGGAAGTGCAAAGCAGTGGGCAGAACCGGGGCCCCGTCCGTTACACAGGGATCTCGGGCAGGTATTCCACCCTCCGGGCCTGCGTGTCGTCAGCAGTCGTGGGGGAAATACAGCTACCACAGAAGGTCACTGTGGGCATTCAGCGAGAAAATGATGATAAGGCCGAGTGGGCAAAGTGCCTGGCACAGGTGGGCTGGGCACCACACCCCTGGGATGACCCCTCTCCCCCTACTCATCAGGGCCTCCTGACACCCACGGCACATTGTCTGCTGGGCAAACGGCCTCCTCTCCTGGACTGGACTGTCAGTTCCTGAAGACGGAGACTAAGCCTTCTGTTTCCTTTTGTGCTTCAAAGCGCGTGGCACTAAGCTGGCAATCAGGAAATGATCAAGAAAACACTTCTGGCACAAATGGATACCTGAGACACACTTGGCTATTCCTCGCTTTCCATTTTATACTTCAGAACCACGAACTACTGTTGGCAGCTGCCCTGCATACGTGAGGGGTGTCAAGCCTCTTTACCTTTGCTTATGCTGTTCCTTCCGCCTAGAGTGCCCTGCCTCCTCCTTTCTGCCCCTGGACACTCAGGTATGTTCAAAAAGCCTGCCTGAACTCTCACAGGCTGGGAGGCTTCTCCTCTGGGTTCCCACAGCATCCTGTGCTCATCTCCACCTACCAAGTTACCTAAAATTACATTTGCCCAAATGCCCTAAAAGGTAAGGAACTGGCTAGGTAAATTATGGTACATCCAAACAGTGGAACAGTATGCAGAAAATAAAAAAGGAAGAGTGACTGCAATAAAGTGCCATTTCAGTACAAACAAAAAAATAGGAGGAAACATACGTGAATATGTATTTGCTTATACATGCATAAAATATTCTCGGAGGATACACCAGAACTCATGCTCGTGGTTCTGCTAGAGAGGAACCTTTTCACTGTGTATATACCCTCTTTTAACTTCTGAATTTGAACCATATGAATGAATTACCTATTTCAATTAAAATAAATTATCCGTTTATAAACTGGTCTTCATGACTAGACTGAATTCCTCGAGGGCAAGGACGATGTCGTGTTCACTCAGGGCACCGACCTTAGCGATGGGCACGTCACAGGGATTCAATAAATGTTTGCCGAGTTGAACTGAACTTTTGAAAGGAATCATAATTCATGCACCTGGTCATCAATTCTATTAGAAATCCTACATTTTAATCCACTTGCTCTATGGGGCTGGCCCCGTGGCTTAGTGGTTAAGTGCATGCGCTCCGCTGCTGGCGGCCCGGGTTTGGATCTCAGGCGCGCACTGACGCACCTCTTCTCCGGCCATGTTGAGGCCACGTCCCACATACAGCGACTAGAAGGATGTGCAGCTATGACATACAACTATCTACTGGGGCTTTGGGGGAAAAAACAAATAAATAAAATTATAAAAAAAACAATAATAATAATCCACTTGCTCTGAAATAGGCAGGCAACTAGTGACCTTTAAAACGGGGCTCCTAGAATGCCCTTTGTAAAGACTGCCTTCACTCAGGCAAAGGGGGAAGAAGACCCTCAGAGGAGCTCCCCAAGACTGACTAGGCAGTGTGACAGAGTGCAAAGGCACAGATTCAGATCCCAGCGTGGCCCCAAACTGTCCCTTCAGGCCACTCTCTCAACCTTTCCATACCTCAGATGGATCTACGAAACGAGCTCCAATTCGGCTCTAAACTGTAGCAACACTGCAGAGAGACCAGGGCTGAGAGGACTGACAACCCCCAATATCCTCTGAGGACTTTACTGGCAGCTAAGACCTTTCAAGACAATCCAGAATTCTGATTACACATAAATACATCAACATACTAGAAAGCGAAGGAATATGGTAGTGGTATGATGCAGAATCTCGCTTCTTTCCTCTTTTTCTTTCTTCCCAATCTGGAACCAGGTGAAATACAAAGTACATAAAGGAATATTTAAGGATGGAAAGGGGGGCAATAAACAAGCAGATAAACGCTAACAACGTTATTGTATTCTTGTTCTCAGCAGTTCATATTTCAGTGTTTCAATAGGATTCAATTCATGTCTAAGGGTCTCCAGGCATGCTAATTAGAGCAGTGATTCTCAAGTCGCCTATGGGGCTTCCTACCATCACATGCACTCAGGTCCACGCTAGGCATTGACCCCACAAATGAATAAGGCATGGTCCATAAGAAGCTTATAATCTAACGAGAGACTTTAAAGCACATAAATGACTCATGAAAAATGGAAAACGCAATAAAAAAGAGGCATAAAGTGTACAAAAGTGAAGAGAAGGAAGAAATTATTTCTGGTGCAGGGTGGGGGCGGAGTAGGGGAGAGAAGAGGAATTAGGGAACGTGTCAGTGAAGGAGGTGGGATCTGAAGAGAGCCTCATGGTGTGGGTAAGATTTAGACGTGTGAGAGGCGGGTGGAGTGTGCAGAAGGAGAGATGAGAGGAAGGGCGACACTCATCTGCTCTCCAACCACAGGTGGCATGACTTCTAACCACCTCCAACTGTCTTTTTAATAAGCTGTTTCTGGAAAAATGCCCGACACTGCTATATCAAATAACGGCTGAAAAATGGGCAGATCATTATGCTTTCTTAGAAAACAGGTTATTGCCCTGTTATTTCTTGTAGAATCAATTTAACCTCAAACCACTTCTTAGGAATAGTCAAAATGTACAATGACTCCCATTAACAAAACTATTACTATTAACCTTGTTTGATAGACTTAACATATAATTCACATAGCTTCAGGAATATGTACTTTGTATAAAGGTGCATCTGTACAAGGTTCTGTAGAAGGTGTTTTGTTGCATTTGGATTATGGGTTAACTTTCACATGTACCACAATATATTTCAGAGAACTCTATACAAATATAATTTATTTTACACGTAAAATATAAGTTTTAATAAACTGATCAATGTTTCAGAGTCAGTTAGATGAGCTTGCTACTTAAAGAAACTCTTTCCTGCTAGTTCTGAAAAGCAAGGACCATTTGAAGAGTAAACAGCCACATCCTGAGTCACCAACTTTGGAAGATGGAAACCTTATATATTAGGTTTTGCTGTAAGCACAGTACATGCATATTAAGACAACACATAAGAATCTCATATTCTGTGATTTATTTAAAAACGTCTTTTCTCTGTAGAAAATGTCACGGTCTAGTTCAAATTTATAAATATCAAATCTATTTTAAGCCCTATGTAAAATCAAAAGAATGATACGTTTATAAGACATTTAAGCTAATTTCCCAATAATTTAGCCCTACTTCCTGATATTGGATTAAAGTCTGATCAAATCCTTTTATCAAATACCAACAGACACAGACACATACCTCTTCCAGCTGTCCCGAAGAAACTGGATTATCTTCATAAGCAGGGAATTGACAACCTGCTTTGCAACTGCAAAAATTATTAATTTCTTCCTCGCATTGTGCCATTATTTTACAGTTTGCTTCTGAGCTTTCTAAATTAATTTCCAGAGATTCATTCATGGTACATTCCAAACACTGATTCTGCTTTCCGACTGGCAGAATCCCAGCTGATTCCTCCTGGGAATCCAGTGATGTCTGAGCACTCTTTTCCATTCCAGATTTTTTTAACCTGGGAAGGAATTTTCCAGACTCAAGCTCTGATTTTCCATAGTAATGGCCTTCTTTCTCTGCATCTTCTTCCAGTGGTTTGAGATCTGCCTGTGGATCTTCAAATGCATCAACTTGAGAAGGAATGGGAATATTTGCTTCATCTTTCTCAGATTCAAATTCCGACTCGCTTCCTCCTCCTGGCGACAGTTCAGATGCAGAAATTGGGCGAAAGTGAGTCCTAGGAGAGATCCGAATAGCCCTGTATTGTGTTCTGTCAACGCCACATATCCTGGGGTGAAAAACTTCACTGTCTGAATCAGAACAGAGGATTGATTTCGGTTTAAAACTAGGGCTGAAAGATGCAATCCCTTCGGGTTCAAATGAACATTCTACGTGAAGAACTTGTGAAAATGGATTGCTTAAGTCAAAGGAAGAGAATGAATATTCAAGGCCAGGATCCTCAACTTGAAAGTTACCACAAGCTCCTAGTAAGTCTTCATGGAAGATAAAAGAAAATCCCTTATTTAATCCATTTTCCCCACTCTTCGGTTGATCATTCTGTTCAAATGACACAAAGGGTTTCCACAACTGCCTGTGACCAGGAGCAAAACTGTTTCCTGGGGTCATAAAGACATCTGTACCAGCTATTGTCACAACATCAGAAGCTGCACATTGTAACAAACTTCCTTTTGTGTGACTGGGCGGTACAACAGCCCATTCCCCATCGCTATTAAAGGTTTTGAGCTCTCCATAAACTCCTCCAAGAATGAATGTGTTCTCTTTATCTTGGGCTACGTCCCAAGGTTTAGAGGGTGTAGTATAATCACCACCATCCACCTTTGATAGCTCACTAGAAACAAAAGCTCTTTTCTCCAGGTTCTCTTTCTGTCCCTCCCACAGATGATATTCTGATCTCTGCACTGCCTTATTAGGCTCCTGGAGGGTCTCCATTTTAGCTTCAGCATCCAAACAGCAGCAGTAGTTATTTACATCTGTTGAAAACAACTCATCGTCAATTCTTTCTATTTCTACCATAGCTACAGAATTTCTATCTGCCATCTTTGTCCAAATGTCTTTAATAACCCCTGAGCTGTAGCCATCTCCATGTGGACTGCTTTCACTACATACTTGTGTAGTTTCAAAGGTTTTGTTTTCTGTTTTTTGTTCTAGCTGAATACCACAGACAGATTCTAGTTTAGATTTTTTTTTGAAAACTAATGTAGGAATTTCTCCTAAAGTTTTACTGTTTTGCTGGCAAGTTTCATCTTGCAAAAAATCTAGAAGTTCTTCATCTACATAATTTGATGAGACTCTAGGAACTACATAATTAATATCTTCTGCATTAAACTGTGTCGATTCTTCAAACTGAATATTTAATGTCTCATTGTCTGAACGTGTTTCTTCTGAATGGGACCACGGACTACAAGTTCTTGTTGAAAGATTAGAACAGTGTTCATTTTCTTCAAAGGCACTATTTTTGGTCCATATTAGCAATCTAGACTGTGTTTTCCCAAGCATATTAGCACTAGAATCTGTATTTTCATTTCCCAAGTTGAGTGTTTCAAAAGAAAACGGTAAAACAGAATTACTGCATTGCACTTCAAACACTGAAAAACAAGAGTTTATACCAGATCCTTCATTAATATCTGAAAAGAGCTCTTGATTGCCAGCAAGCAAATGTGGATTGAGCGCTGTGCTGTCTAAGATTGGAGAGAGTCTAATTGGAGAATCTCCTCCAAAACTCTCGCCATCAGCATCGCCAGAGCTAGATGAACAGCACTCCCAAAACTGAGCCAGATTGCCAAGGTCTTGCAGGAATAAGCCCTCAGCACCTACAGAGCTGGTAGAATCTGTCCATATTGCACGTTCCCCTTGCAACTCCATTCCATCTAACACTATGCAACACTCTGCCTCAAAATCGGTTTTCTCTTTGCTTTTTTGTCGAATCATATTCAAAATCCGACTTTCTCCTTGCATTGTTTCTGAGGCACCAGGATCCAACATGGATTGATCAATATCCACTTCATAGAAGTGTGTTAATTCTGATAGATGAATATCATCCAAGTATGTGTTGCCCTCCGGTAGAGAACAGAATGAGGTCCCAGTGAGGTCAATATCCTCATTTATAACTGCAGGCATTTCTACAAAATGACCATCAATGAAAGTACCTGCCGCGAGGTATGTTTTATGAATATTATTGTTGCTGATACAAAGACCGTGCACTGATTCAGACAATTCTTCTACTGCCTCTGATGTCAGATCACTTGTATCTTGTCTGTTTCGGTATGTGGTCTCTAATTTACTTTTTCTGCTCAAAGGAACAAAATATTCAGCAATTGGTTCGGTATACCACAACGGTTCCTCTTTATATTCTTTGTCGTTTCTGCTCTCCATGTACAGGTCTCTTCCTTCAGTGCTCCCGGTGTCTTTTCTCCCCATTTCCTTTGACGGTCTTTTACCCCGTTTGCACAGCTGTTTGAGAGAACCACCGCTGCTGCTGCTGCTGCTACTTCCGGCATGAATGTTTCTTTCAGCCCTTTCACCATGCTTCAATGAAAGTCTGCTGTGACCATTCCGCCCTTTTTTGTTCCGAATTTCCCGTGTCTTGTGCCTTACTTTCACACACTTCATGGATGCTTTTAATTCTCCCTGATTACCACTTGAACTTGAGCCTGCTTCACTAGAGCCGGAAGACCATGAGCGAGGGCGAATCTTTCCTTCAGGTTTATGTCGGATTTGCTTTTTGTACAAAGCAGGCTTTTCTTCCATTGTGCCATTACTAAATTTGTTCTCCTTCTCATTTTTACTTCTGCCCTGGGTTTTCTCGTGTGCAGTGGTGGATACTTCATTGCTCCTTTCCTTGATGACTTCTCCTTCACTGTTGCACTCCTTGGGAGAGGATGTATCTGTGCTAGCTGGTGGGGCTGTGGATGATGAAGAAGAGCTAGAGTAAGAACAGACTTTAGACTTGTTCCATACAGTCATGATTTCTTGCAGGCAAACTGGCTTCTCAGAAAGTGGTGGAAATGCTTCATAGTACCTGAAAAATAGAGTAAAAAGTTCAAAAGTGGTCACTTAGCTGCATTAGGCATAGTAAAACAACATTACCAATCAGAGAAATGGTATATTTCACTTTAATAGTCAACATTTACATCATCCATGAATTATTAACTTTTAAATAATTAGTAATACAGTAAAATATGCTTTACATGTAGTCCAATGTATCAAGCAGTGAGATAAGAATATTAAGAAAATATGTAAGATGACAGTTTTTATCTTCAAAGTTTGTTGAATTTTAATCAAGAAGTCACAAGTAACAAATACAATGTAGTGGAAAGAATGTACCCTTGATAAGAGATATTTAAATTTGATTCTCAGATCAGTCACTTACTATCTTTGTGACTTAGTAGCTAATTATTTAATGCCTTGGTCCATATTTCCTCTACTGTAAATGGTGATAATATGACTTACCTCACAAGGCTGCTGGGAGCACTGTAAACAGATGTAGTTGAAAAACTGGATAGCAAAGAAGTCAAGAGTATGAGCTCTGAAGCCACACTCCTTGAGTTCAAATCCTGACTCTGTCCCTTAGTAGCTGTGTGACCTCTCTGCAGCTCAGTTTCCTGACCTCCAAAATGGGGGTAATAATAGTCTTTACCTCACAGAATTGTGAGGAGTAAAGGAATGAATATGCGAAATGAGTCAGAACAGCACCTTCTTAAGTGATTATTGTTGTTGTTATTTTTTCTCAGGAGGCCAGCACAATGTCTGGCATTAAGCAGGCCCTCAGAAATAGCAGGGATTATGGTATTCAAGTGTTCAGAAAAGATGATGCTGGTACAATTAGAGAAAGTAGACCACAGCTGAGCCTTCAAGTTCCAGAAATGCAGAAGTTTAATGAGTACTAATTGTGAGGCATGGGAACCTGCATGAGGACAGGAAGATACGCGCATGTTGTGCTCACGGAACTGAAGCCTGATTAGACCAGAAACTACTCGAAATACAGGGTAGGAAAAATCACGGACGCTGGTTTTAGAGGGCTTGAAAACAAGGAAGAAGAATTTTTGATTTGCCAAAGAAGAATCTAGAGTCAGGGTGGCTACCAAGGGACTGTCACTTTGCAGGCAACAGTCAGGGTCACACATGAAGTGATAAAAGGCCATGTTTTCAAAGGGCTATACTTTCTCTCCTTTTCAGTCTATACCAGAGTTGTCCAATAGAAACATATTGTGAGCCTCACATGTAATTTTTAATGTTTGAGGAGTCACATTAAAAGTGTACAAAGAGGTGAAATTAATTTCAATAATATATTTTACTTAACCAAATATATCCACAATAACATCATTTCAACATGTAATCAACATTAAAAAATATTAATACAATATTTTACATTCTTTTTTATACTAACTCTTTGAAATCTGAAATCTACAAATTTCACATGTACAGCAGACCTCAGTTTGAAGTAGCCACATTCCAAGTGCTCAATAGCCACACATGGCTTATGGCTACCACGGTGGACAATGAAGGTCTACACAAACCACTAAATACTATTTTTTCCTTAAGTTTTAGAAGTTCAGAAGATTCAAATAAAATGTATAATAAGGAAGTCTGCTTATAATGCAGCTGATTTTAATACTAACCATTTACAAAGACAGAACTAAAAGCATCTTTAGGAAACAAGTTTGATAAGGTCAATGACTTGCCCATGTTCCCTTTAGAATCAGCAGTGGGAGCTTGGTTTCCTTGTGTGTAAAACAAGGATAAGCATAATTTCTTACAGCTGTCTCAAAGAGTAGTGTAAATTTCAAAGGCGAAAGTAACATGAATGGACTGTAAATAACCTTGCTTATTTCATTCATTCATATCACAAATACTGATTCAATATATATGATAAAGATAGAACCATCTTATTCACCTTTGAATTCTCAGTGTCAAGCACACAATAAATGCTCAATAAATGTTTCCTGAATTATAAAATATGAAACTAAATAGAAGATGACAAACAAAAACTGTAAACCACGTAGCAATTATTAGTCTGAGTTTCACAAACACACACTTTATTACTGAAGACAATCTTACATACATTTCCACTTGATCCTTTGCTGTAGGGGATAATTCTGCCTCTGGAGAGGGAGACCCTTCTAACTTTTTGTGAATCTTCTCTTCTGTTAAGAAACAAAAATTCAGAAAGATTTGTCTTATATCTAGTTAATAAATATTTGTGTGTTGTAAAGTTTCACAAGTAACTTTAACAGAAATTATATAGGCTTTTGTGGCTTAAAAAGAACTCTATACTAGTTTGTCTTTTTAATAAAAATCTATTTCTGCAGTGTGCCAGAGGGAATTCTCTGGCTAAACCACATTAACAGTGGGCTGAGAGGTAAGACTTGTTCATCTCATCACTGATACAGTGCTCTGGAGGCACTTAATTACGAGAGTGGAATCTCCTGTGTACTTATTAATTACACCAGAAGGAGAGAACATCTGTTTAGATTCCAAAAATATTTTCTCACAAAATTCTACACTCATGAACCTTCTATTGAGTCATCTTGACTAATACTAATCGGCAAAGAAAATTCTTCATTACAATTAGCTCTCTGTTACTCAACATCTAGGTGAGCAAGGGCTGTGTTTCAACTAAAACAGAAGCAAAGGGCTATACTCTTAGCTTAGCTCATGATATTGTCTTAGTTTAAAAACAAACAAATAAATAAACTCTGCCCTTATAGCAAGGCTCAAGACTTGTTGGGCAGCAAAATGAGCATGAAGAGGACCTTAACATGTAGCTCTCATTCTAAGGGCTTGCAGAACAGTTGGGAAAAGAAGCTATGAGGGTTCATGAATCAAAATGACTTAATGAGCTTGTCAAGTCTGCCTTTCCAAAAAACTCAAGAGTCAAGGCAGAAGTTCCTTCCAAACCTGCAATAATTAGTGTCGATACCTTGTGAGGCCTTGATATCAATAGGCAGATATTAACGGGGGGGAGAGCATATAACAGCACGGGACAGAGAAGACAAAATACTGCTCTCTATCTCTGAGCTTCAACTGAAGACAAACAAAATGAAATGTCCCCTCTCTAGGAGGCACCTGTGGATTAAGTCACTTCTTTGAGAGCAGGGATGTGTCCACAGTGACTGCTGAGGGCTGACCCAGAAGTCATGAACAGCTGAAGACACCACGTGATGCTGGCCTGGCAACACACACTGAACACAAAGACTGTATTCTTGTTGTTTTTCTCTTTTTGATCAATTCTAAGATTTCCCTCAATCAAATTCCTTGGTGATACTATCCTACTGTGTGTAAACACAGCCCCTGGGGAGCAATGCTCTCACCTTGCTTACTCTGAAGGTCTTTCAGTCTGGAGCAGAGCTCCTCCACTAACGTCTCGATACCAGAGCTCTGCATGAGAAAAGAAATACACGTTAATTTACCGCCAGGTATGTAAAACTCAGGTATTTGTACCCTTTTGTTTTTATATACGGGTTTTATAAATCTTCCATGTTCCAAAAGAACTACATTATCAATATTTAAACACAAAAGTTTAAAAATTACAGGTTTGTAGATCCAACTTAGTACACATATTTTACTGATAAAGTATATTCAATAGCACTTACTGATAAAATATGAAAATATTGATGTACCTCCCAGAATGGCTTCTGTCTTCCCAGGGGTATAGCATCTTGCTCACAGGGCAGACTAAGGACCTAAATGCCCATCACATGCCTAATGTCAGTCACCAGCAAAAACATTATTGAATGTGAGCAAGGTCTTGTACCAGACTCAATACAAAGAAAAATCACAAAAATCTCATCTGGTCCTCTAGGAGCTCAAGGTCTAAAGAAAACAAGGAGATTTTTTTCTTTTTTAAAGTGAACACTCATGACTGCAACAAAAAGGGCAGTATAGAAAACACGTCAATACTGTGAGCGAATGTGAAAGCTTTGTTTTCTTTTAAGGGTCATGAACAGGGTATTAGCCTTGACACAGAACTGGGGTAAAATTTAAGGAGAGTGCATGGAAGAGTCTGAAATTGGGAGGATAAGAACAAGAGCCAACCTTTAAAGAAAAATGAATGTTGGAAACAGGCACTGCAAAATAATCTTGTACTATGTCAACTTTTAAACTTTTAAAATTCTCTATTTCTCACAAGAAGAAAGAAAAATATTTCACAATGTACAAAAAAAAAGTGAATGTATTTCCTAGGAACCTTATATTTATTCAGTGGCCAAAAGTCCCATTTAAGCTGGCACTGAGTCTCTCTAGGTGGGCACCACCCCAACACACGCACATGCCCTCACCGGGCCTTGAGGGGCTAAAAATAGAACTTTACCCCATTCGCTTAACTCAAAATGACTCAGCACAAGTATTACAGACAGCCTAACAAGAAACCCCACAGTTCCATAGTTAGAGCAGCAAGAAACAGATTACAACCAAAACGGTTAATTGTAAACACTGACAGTTATGTTCTATCCACATCATATCACAGCTTTCAATAGGGAGAAAGGACAGGGGAGACAGGGAAATGGGCAAGAGAGCTGTCCTTTCCTTAAAAACACTCTTAGAAACCATGGCAGATATTAGTCATAAACACTGCTCCGACTACACAATTCCATCAGAAAGACTCTGCTTACCATAACGTTCAAGGTGTGATGAGTAGGGCCGTTTTATTCAATTTTCTCCAGACCATGAACCTAACACCAGCGTCAGCTGACACACTGCTGCACGCTGTTCTGTTACAGCAAGCCTGTGTCACTGTGTTTCTAAACCCAGTACCAGTCTCCAGTGCAGAACACCGAGCCTCTCGAGATCGCTTATTCAACTTCTTTCAGAACTCGAAACGGCCAGCCGTTTAATGTTCTACAGAGAATGAGCATTACAACCTAGTGACTAGATACTATTTTTTATGCTTTGTCTTGGAAATTACTTCCATACAACTGTAAAATTTAGTTGTTCTGGATAGTAATGCAGCTTAGAAATATATATATTTGCTCTCATATATAAGTGGCAAAGAAATAATGAGATTATTTCTTAACTCTGTGCATAAAAGCAAGCTCTACCCACCAGGCTTTTGTCTTCTCTCCTTGACTACTGCAGTATCCTACATATCTATATATATATATTTTAATCATTAGACTACTGGGTTTTCGTAATAGTAAACTGAGAAGCAAAAGGGGGTAGGAGAAGCAGCCATCATATCCTGTCATCTCCTGGCAGGTATTCTAAAGTGTTAATTTGGAGCTGTTAATGAGTATTCCAAATTATGATATAAACTATTAGATAATTTCGATAATCATATTTTAATAGTATACCATATCCAGAAGGGCACTTAAGAATACTGAAAGCCTACAGTATCTTGAGAAACAAGGAAAGTATACTCATATTTTAGTGACAACTCTAAGGAAGAACACGCTGTATGTGAAAAAATGCTAACATTCAACCACTTAACTCGTGAATTGCTCTTCCTAAGTATAAAATGGATAATACCCACTTACCTCCCAGTATCAAGCAAACATGTTAAAATGCTCTGCAAACCATAAGAGCACTCTAAAATTCAAGTAACAGTACTCCAACTCTGAAAACTGTTGAACCACACACAGTAACTGGCAAGTTTTGGGAGATGTTCAGTAAGCAGTCTTCTGAATGCACGACCATTCACTGGTTTATCATTCATTCATTCATTCATTCAGTCAACAAATGGTCAGGAGCACCCCAACGTATCAGGCTGGACACACAGAGAGACAAGGTCTCTGCCCTGATGGCATTTACATTCTAATAACTCCTAACTTCTCAGAGGACATGGCTGAGTGGAACGTATTTGGGTCTGGGGTCTCAAGGCCTGGGTCTGAATTTCTGCCCTGCCACATATTTACTGGACAGCAGGGTTTATGTGCTGCTTGTAATCTCTGAACTGGAGACCACCACATTTCCCTCTCAAGATCTGCGAGGGTGAACTAAGATGACGTTTACGTGAGGCACCCAGCAGAGTGCCTGTCACAGTAGTCACTTAAACATTGGTGCCGTTTCTAGATTTTGTATGTTTTTCATTTTCCAGAATCTCATTTTTGGATTCATCTCTTCTAAAATGCCTTTAATTTTTGCTAGGATTTGAGCTTGAGATTGAAGGAGTAACAAAGATGATTAACCTGATAATTATCAAATTAATTACTAATTAACCAGATAACCCAAAGTCCTCTGGATTCTGCCTGGACTTTATGGTCATTGCACTGCTACCCTCCCTCTCCCAGGCTGCAGGGTGGAGTTAAAGACCCTTATGTGATGCTGGAGACCGAGCCTAGGTCAAACACCGCAGCCACTTTCCCACTGCTTCTGGGGAATTCTTTTTATTTGTTCCTTGACAGATTTCCATCATTTCCTGTCCTACAACATTTTCAGTGCTTCTCCATCCTCTCCATGCTTCCCATCCTTTTCAACTAATGATCTTAATCATTAGCAATCTGACTTAACTCTGCCTCATCATCTCTTCTCTCCATATTCTAAGGTTTCTATAGCTACATTACTCATCTCAGAAGTTCATCTTTTATGGAGAACTCATTTGGATTGGATATTGCCCAAATGCTGGACAAATACTCCCACCCCAACCCTCTGATCACTAACAAATATGATACTCAGGGGCCCTTAATTGCCTGTTCCATTCATGGGCGGCAAAGTGGGAGGCAGAAAAGATCTGGGACTGAGTTTCATCCCTGAGTTAGCCATATGACCCTACATAAATCATTCACCTATCAAAGCCACAGTTTTCACATCTGGAAAATGGTGAGAATACCACCGACACATTTCCTAATAACTGGTTATTAGACTTCCTGCATTGTTCCCCTAATTTCTTTTCTCTCCTACTTACCATTTCTTCATTTTTTAAAAATAAGAGTTTATATTTCACTTTAATTTCATTTACTTGGATTTTTTTGCTGAGGACAATTAGCCCTGAGCTAACATCTGTTGCCAATCTTTCCTTGTTTTTTTTTTTGCTTGAGGAAGATTAACTCTGAGCTAACATCTGTGCCAATCTTCCTCTACTTTATATGTGGGTTGCTGCCATAGCATGGCTGACAAGTGGCGTAGGTCTGCACCTAGGATCTGAATCCATGAACCCGGGCCACCGAAGCAAAGCGCGTCAAACTTAACCACTACTCACGGGGCCGGCCCTTTTTCTTATTTTTTTTTTGTGTGTGAGATTATTCTCACACTTTTTTTGTTTTGTTCTGTTTTTGGTGAGGAAGATTAGTCCTGAGCTAACATCTGTTGCCAATCCTCCTCTTTCTGCTGAAGAAGATTGGCCCTGAGCTAACATCCGTGCCCACCTTCCTCTGTTTTACATGTGGGATGCCTGCCACAGCATGGCTTGATAAACAGTGTGTAGGTTTGCACCTGGGACCTGAACCTGCAAACCCTGGGCCACCGAAGTGGAGCCTGTGAACTTAACCACTATGCCACTGGGCTGGCCCCACTTTTTTTTTTTTTTTTTTTGAGCCTGTGAACTTAACCACTATGCCACTGGGCTGGCCCCACTTTTTTTTTTTTTTTTTTGGTGAGAAAGATTTAGTGGTCCTCAGCTAACATCTGTGCCAATCTTCCTCTATTTTGTATGTGGGACACCGCCACAGCATGGCTTGATGAGCAGTGTGTAGGTCCGTGACCGGGATCTGAACCTGCGAACTCCGGGGCGCCGCAGTGGAGTGTGCAAACTTAACCACTATGCCACCAGGCCGGCCCCTCATTTTTCAGTTTTACTTTCTGGGATATTTCCTCAGCTATATCTTCCAACCTTTCTACTGAGTTGTTTCATATGTACTATCATGTTTAGAATCTTCAAGAGGTCATCTTCTCCTTTGAATGTTTTTTCTTTATAGTAACCTTTTCCTCAGAGAGAAATCCCCCAAATTCAGTGTAGTGGCAGCCAGGCAGAAGAGAGGGATGGAGATTCAGCAGTCAATTTGCCGACTCTCATTTAGTCCTCAACTTTCATTATGGTACCTCATGCTTTCCCTCAGGGGTGCCTGGTGCCCCAAAGTCCAGAACGTGTCAGGCTCCCTCTCTCCAGAAAGTACCTGCCAGGATGGGGAAAGCCTGTTACTTTGGTGCCAGCGAGGAACCACATCTCCTGGCACTCACCCTAGCATAGGCTCCTCCCACAAGTCAACGCTGGGACTTCTCAGTGAGACACTAGCAGGTGTGATGCATGTCCTCTTAGAATGCTAACTCCTAGGGTCCATCTGCTGTGCACCGAAGCCTATGTGGCCATGTGGAGAAGGTCACGGCTCCTAGCTATCCCTGTGGAGGCGCCATGCAGGTGAAGAGAGCAATCCTGGAGGTTCCAGTCCCAGCTGCCATCTGACTGCAACAGCATGAGACCCCAAGCAAGACCAGCAGAAGAACCTCCC